TCCGTTGTCCCAGGACCTAGTGGAGTGCCTAGGACATGGTAGGCACTCAGTGAAAATGAATAAAATGCAGAATTGTCTTCAGAATCCCTCTCTCCCTCTGTCTGTCTCTGCCTCTCTCCCTCTCTGTGTCTCCCTGTCTCTCTCCTCTTCAGTGTCCTTGGCGTTTGGAGCCACACACGATTCCTTTGTGCTTCTGGGCTGGGAGAGGCAGCCGTCAGGGGACGCTCTGATAACCACCGTCTGGGCTCCAGCTGGTTCGCCCCTTGAGCTGTCGCTCAGCTCTCAGTGAAGGATTCCAGAGCAAACCTCCTCTCTCTGTGGTCCTGCCCACCCTTTCTGGGCACACAATTTGGACACAGTCATTTATTTTGTCGCTTCTGTCTGAAACTTTACAAAATTACTCCCTTAGCTTCACCCAAAATACTATTTCTTGTCCTGAAATAGCATCTTACACGCTCACCAGGATTTTTTTCTCTTTCCTTTTCCTGGGCTGTAAAGTCCAAAAAAAAAAAAAAAAAAAAAAAAAAAGTCACAACGTCATAAACCGTGAGAGCATTTTTAGACATTGTCTGGGCCTCGCCCCTCATTTGCTGAGGAGTCATCGGAGCCAGAGACAGGGAACCTTCTTTAGGGTGTCACTGGGGCCTCAGGGAGGGGCAGCCCTTGAATGCAGTGACCTGGACAATCAGTCCAGCCTCGTTTCTCCGACTCAGGTCAGGCGAGAGGCCCAGCCCGAGGGAAGTTGGTCTGCCCCTCTCCTCACGGCTGTGGCCCTTTGTCTCTCCCCCCCAACCCCCATGCCTCATCTCAGTCCCATCTGAAATATCGGGGTCCTCTGTCCTCTTTCCCCAACTCAGAATCAAGCATGACTCCTCCAAAGAAGAGGTGGTCAAGGAAATAGAACGAGATGAGACGTTTTTCCAATTAAACTGTTCCAGGAGGCTTTACTAAATCAGTGCTTTTTTATTTGGTGTTTCAAATGTTGTTTCTCAGAGCCTCCCAGTGAGGGGTGTGGAAGCGGCTATCACCGCCTCCCCCACAAAGCACAAAGAATCCAAGCTGCCACCTTCCTGAAGCTATTTTTATTGTTGAAGCTTTTCTGGGCCTAACATTATACTCAGGGTTAGTCAGAAGCCGTGGAGAACGCCTCTCGCTGTGCAACCCTGGGCTGCCCCAGAGCACAGCTAGGCTGAAGGGGTCACTCCCCCCCTCAGAGCACAGGTAGGCCGGAGGGGTTGCCCCACGGGGCCGGGAGGCCTGGGGTGGCTGAGAACCTAGGGACACGCTAGGGGGCAGGCCAAGCAACAGGCAGACAGGGTAATGCCCCTCAGGATGTTGTGAGGGGCTGCTCACACCTGGGTTTCCCTCCTCTTTGCTCCCAGTACTATTGTTCTGAGTGCAGAACAGTGAGGCGAGACAGAAGACGGGTAAGAAAACGGGGTCCACACCAAAGTCAAACCCAGGCCTCCTGACCCACCACCCGGCCCCCTGCCGTCCCGCATGGCAGGGATCGGTGCCATCTCAGGCCTGCTGGGCACTGTCGGGACAGACTCAGGGGTGGGCAGGGGCTCTGGCGGAGTTTGGATGCATCGGGGATTAGGTTTGGGTAAAACTCACAGGATTGAAGCTTTACATACAACCTTTTGTTGATTTTCCAAACTGAATTGTTTGTTATCCCCCGCGAACCACGCTTGCAACAGAAGAGAGAAGATGCTTAACCCAGAGCACAGGAGCGTAAGAAACAGTTTTCTGTTAACGAGAGAGAGGCATCCATGTCACGGGGGCTTATTCTCAAGCATCTGTTAGTTTGGGTGAGCCGCCCTGCAAGGCAAGGGAGAGACCCGGGCTGTTTCCGACGGCACTGGTCCATCCGTGCAGGCACCAAATACATGAATCACGTCGAGACAGGTCACATTCCCACGTCTTCTGCTCCTCTCTCTTTCTGCTTTAAGCAGAGGGCTTTGGAGCCATCCCTGTTTGTGGGAGAATCTTTTGTCCTTTGTTTCACTCCCATCCTTAATAAAGGGAAAAAGCCAAATCAGTGATGATACACAGAACCCTTTGCTACAACCCTCCCCCCTAAAGAAAAGCTTATTTGATTTTTGTTGCTGTTGTTGTTAATTTTAAATCAGGTATTGCTCAAAGTTGCTGCCGTCTCGCACATTAGCAGAGCCTGGGGATTTAAAATAATCCTTGCACCGTGGGCATTGAGACTTAAACATCAGTATTTTTTCTTAACTCTCTAGATGATTCCAAAAGACAACTGAGTAGAGAGCCAGTGACCTGAGCCAGTGTTTTCTCAGACGTCAGCGTGCATACGAGTCACCTCGGGACCCCAGTAAAGTAGACACGTTGATTCAGGAGGTCTGGGGGTGGGGTTCCAGAATCTGCAATTCTACCAGGCTCCCAGGTGATGCCAGTGAGGCCAGTCTACAGACCACACCTTGAACAGGTGAGGTCAAGGTATACTTGCTGGCCCCCAATGTCAAGTGATTCATGAGGGAATAGAAAATATTGAAGCATCTCAGGCAAAAGGAAGGCTTCCTTATGGCATAGGAAGGGAAGACAGTTCCCTTGAGGAACTTCCCCCGAGTTGTTAAGAAATGATTTTTTTGGGCCTGGGGCACCTGGGGCTCAGTCGGTTAAGCGTCTGACTTCAGCTCAGGTCGTGATCTCATGGTTTGTGAGACAAGCCCCACATCAGGCTCCACACTGACAGTGTGGAACCTGCTTGGGATTCTCTCTCTCCCTCTCTCTCTGCCCCTCCCCAACTCACTTCCTCTCTCTCTCTCCCTCAAAATAAGCAAACAAAACTTTAAAAAATTTAAAAAAAAATGAAACGATTTTTCGACTTCCTACATAGACGGTTTATAGAAGAATCTGGCCTTCCGTAATCCAGAACGTTCTAGACCAGAGGGACCTGGTAGGTCACAGGGGTCAGTGTTTCCCCAGTCCTAGTTAATTATCAGAATCACCCAGGGAAGCCATCTAAAAATTTAGATTCCTGGGATCTGCCTGAATAGCCTCTCTCTAAACATATTATTATTATTATTATTTTTATGTTAATTTTTTTATTTTTGAGAGAGAGACAGAGAGTGCGAGCAGGGGAGGTGCAGAGAGAGAAAAGGGAATAGAAGATCCGAAGCGGGCTCCATGCTGACAGCAGAGAGCCTGAGACAGGGCTCGAACTCACGAACCATGAGATCGCGACCTGAGCCAAAGTCGAAGGCTTAACCGACTGAGCCCCCAGATGCCCCTAAACATATTTTTCAATAGCCAATTTAAGTTCTGACAGATTTGGGACCCCTGCTAGAGCAGGCCACCCTTCCTTCCTTCTTTCCTTCCTTCCTTCCACCCCAGGCCCCACTTCCTGCTTCCTCACACGTTCACATTTTATGGGAGGTGGATGAGGCTGCCCCAGGCAAGGGCTTCTTTGCAACAACGTGGGTACTTCCTGCCGCACGAAGAAAAATCTGAGTGCTAGACAGACCTTCTTAAGGGTCACAGCCATTTGGGGACCCAGATTCTGGCTGATAAATCCAGGCTAGGAGTCCGCCTTTGCTTTTCTGGACAGACAGGTTAATTTTATGAGACAGTAAAGCCAACAGGCAGGTATATAGATAGCTAATAAAAAAAGGCCGCTTGACCCGACCGGAGGAGAAGGAGATTTGTGCTTGTCTAGATAACCATACCCACTTGGAGGAGAGGAGCCTCATATCCCCTCTGGCTGGGCACCTACCCCTCCAGTTTACCTGCGTTCTGGCCCTGGTGGGGGTTTGCTCTCCTTATACAATTCTCCTGGGATCCCTAGGCCCGTTCAAAGACAGAGGGCAAAGATTTTGAAAGCCTCATGACAAATTAGAGTCACGGTCCTAACCTATGAGTAGAAATGCTTCTGCGGGCCCCACTGGGACTTCCCCCCAGCCTTCCAGCTTTGTGTCGTGAGGATCCTCTGGTTCTACATGTCTATGTCATGCCCGGCTCTGCTCACTTGGAACATACAAGGGAGTTGCTGATGCCACGTCTGTTTGGTACCTAACACCCAGGCCCGGTGCCTGGATGCCCCCACCCCGGCCAGGAACACCACCTGAGTAGGACTGGGATTGTGCCATAATTGCTCACTTGTGCGATTTTTTTTTTTTTTTAATGCTTACTTAGTCATTTTGAGAGAGAGAGAGAGAGAGAGAGAGAGAGAGAGAGAGCATGCACGTATGTAAGCAGGGGGAAGGGCAGAGAGAGAATCCCAAGCAGGCTCCTCGCTCAGTGGGGTGCTGGATGCCGGGCTCGATCTCACAAACCGTGAGATCATGACCTGAGCCGGAATCAAGAGTCAGACACCTAACCCACTGAACCACCCGGGGGCCCCTCACGTGACTTTTCTTAACCAATAGGCTTGGAGTGCCTGAGATTTTTTTTTTTCGTTAAGAAATATTTATTAGGCATAAATACTCATTTTAAGTCTTAGTACGTATTTAATCATTCATCCATATATTTATTTTCTGAGCACACACAATGTATCAGTAAACACGATGTATCTGTATGTTTCCATGCCATGATCCTATTAGGTGGGTATGATTGTCTTCATTTTTCATATAAAGAGTCTGAAATTCAGAGATTATGAGCTACCTTTTTCAAGATCACACTTCCAGAAAGCCATTTAACTGAGGTTTGAACCCCGATCTCTCAGGCTTCTGAACACCTTGTCCTTCCCTCACATCAGATTGCCTAAAAACAAGAGCCTCTCTCCTTTTGGAGATTGAGGAAGGTAGCTAATTGTAAAAATTCCTTGTAATTTTTTTTAATGTTTGTTTATTTTTGAGAGACACAGAGAGAGAGAGAGAGACAGAGCATGAGTGGGGGAGGAGCAGAGAGAGAGGAAGGCACAGAATCCGAAGCAGGTTCCAGGCTCTGAGCCATCAGCACAGAGCCCGATGTGGGGTTTGAACCCACAAACCTTAGGATCATGACCCGAGCTGAAGTCTGGTGCTTCATCGATGGAGCCAGCCAGGCATCCCCATAAATTTTTTTTTTTTTATTAAAGATCCTTATCTGGCAAAGACATAGTCAAGCTGAAAGATATACCACCAATCTAAGCTAGTCTCAACGCATACCATCTTGCCATTTACAATTCACTGCACACTCATACATCGGTGAGTTAAAATCTGTGCGTATTATTTTTTCTGAAAAGCCTTCCTTGAGCCTCCAGTGGAAATCAGGGCCCACCTTCCATTATTACGTAGCCACTTTATTTCCTCCTCCCTGCACAGACTGCATCCCTGGCAGCGTGACACATGCTGGCAGGCACAGTGCTGCCTGTGGCCAACTTAGGGATGGACGGAGGGACAGGATGACAGGAGTCACTTGCTGTATACTCCTTTGGGAAGTATTTATACCTCCAGGTTGTGGGTCTATTTCTCTAAACTAAACTCATTCGGAATCATTTTAGATTTGTAGAGAAGTTGCAAAGATAGTAGAGTTCTCACTCAGTTTCCCCCACTGTTAACGTCTACCTTACTATGGCTCATTACAATGTCAGGCTCATTACAATGTCAGGTACATTTAAAAAGCGAGGATTTGTCTTTTCCTGTGCAGTGTGGGTAACCACCAGTCACGCAGCCAGAAGGCTCGAGTCTCGGGAGCGTTGGTCGGAGTTGACCCTGGTAATCTCCGTTTTCCCAGGGCACCAGGAGGATAACAGGATGACCTTGCCAGGGTTTCTAAGGAGGATTAAAAAAGACCATGTCCGTGAAATCCCCCAGGATGCTGCGTGGCACGCTTTTGAATATGAACCTCTGAAATCTGCCTTGCAACAGAAGTTTCCATCAGGCTGTGTTTAAAGCATGCTGGGGTTTCCTATGCACGTTACTCTGCATGCCATCCCCCCCGCAAGGCTGAGCCCTACTTGTGTTTGCTTGATACACTCTCTACGTTCGTCTCCCTCCTCCTTCCTTCCCTCGTGCTCTCCCAATAAATACTGTTTGACGAATTCAGGCCAAGAGCAGTGGCTGTCAACAGAGATATTGTTTCCTCTTCTGGATTGCATCCGTCAAAGTTGCTGGCCAACCCAGGTGGTCCCAGCCAAGCCGAAGGGTTGACACCGATGTGCGGCCCATGCATCCTGAATTCTTTTTTTTTTTTTTTTTTAATTTTTTTTTCAACGTTTATTTATTTTTGGGACAGAGAGAGACAGAGCATGAACGGGGGAGGGGCAGAGAGAGAGGGAGACACAGAATCGGAAACAGGCTCCAGGCTCTGAGCCATCAGCCCAGAGCCTGATGCGGGGCTCGAACTCCCGGACCGCAAGATCGTGACCTGGCTGAAGTCGGATGCTCAACCGACTGCGCCACCCAGGCGCCCCATTGAATTCTTAAGCAGAAGAGAACGACTGAACCTGAAGAGATGGCCAAGGTGGTACAGAGTGGAAATCATTTCCAAATCCGCCCTGTTACTGGTAGAGAGAGGAAGGGAAGGGGGGAGCGAGGGGGGCTGGGTAGGGGATAGAAGGTGCAAAAACAGACATAATTAGAAAATTTGGGCCCTGACATTTTCCTCACCCCCACCCCCCACCCCCCGACTTACTTGACATCCCCTGAGCTAGACGCCGAGCTGGCACGTGTGTTTTCAGAAATGAGTAGGATACGCGAACCCTTCAGAATTAAAATGACAGTCTTGAAGTGCACGCTCGGTGACTGAGGCCGCCTGCGTCTGCTCTCACACAGATGCCCTCTGAAAGAGGTACCTCCTTTGGGCACATCTCACCTCGCCCACGAACGTCCTGGAAGCCAGCAGATGCCCGAAGGGAACATGGTTTGGGGCTGTGCCTGCGTAATGAGACTTCACTTTAAGGCATTCTTTCTTGTTTATCCCAGTCCATTAAGAAGATTCCACTCCAAATGAGTAGTTGCTGACCCTATTAAAAACTGTCCATATTCCTTAATTAGCACAAAAGGACTTGAAATAAAATATTTACATACTGCTCTTTCTTTCTTTTTTTTCCTTTTTTTTTGTAAGGGGAATGGGGTTGTCCTTTGATGCCTGCTTTTCCTTGCGTGCCCAGATTTTTAATTGGACCACTCCCTGCATTTTGGTTCTTTGGCTGCAAGGCCATGTGGGTGGAGGAAGTCGGGTGTCTCCTCAGCCAGGCAAAGCAGACGGCCAGAAGTCGTAGGAAAGCGATCTTTCTGAAACGGGAGAAATAAGACAGGGAAAGACTGTAAAACTCCCACTGGCGGCTGCCTTTCGAGTAGGGTGTAAAAAGAACTGCTCTCAGCCACCTTTGGAGGAAGAGAACTAGGAGCAAAAGGTTACACGCCAGCGTTTTGAAGAGAACTATGGCTAATCTTAAAAAATTATCACACATAGAATGTTCTAGAAATCTAGGTAAGTGCCCCCCCCCCATTAAATACAGTTTGAAATAAACCAAGGTTTATGGAGGTTTATTGTGAACCAAGATGTTCCTACGTGCTACCTGTTGAAATGAGGGTTCGCCTATACTCTGGCAAAAGTAGAAAATAGAGCTGTTTCTTGGCACATCTAACTACCAGTAGGTAGGAAAGGGCTTTGAGCGTCAGCTGTACGTTGTGAAACGGTGTTTTGGGTGCTTGTTTCTTCATTCCTTCTGGGCAGATGCAAATTCTTGCGGACAGGCTCTCATGCGTTCACTGTGCTCTCTCCTTCCCCTTTCAGGTCTCATTATCCCTCCTTTTGCCCTTTCATTTCTGGAAGGCCCCGTGCTCTACAGAGAAAGGTAAAAAGCAGGGATGGAGGGGCAGGGATGGTCAAGGGTCGAGGTTCAAAGGAAGGACACAGAAGAAAGTAGAGAGTTGGTAAGAACAGCTTTGGCCTAGGAGTTAAGATAGTGAGCTTTAGGCTCAGGTCTGGCACTAAACGACAGCCACAATAATGATGGTAATTTAAAATATGAATAGCACTTACTATCTACTGAGCATTATTTGAAGCACTTTTGTTTGTTTGTTTTGTTTTTGTTTTTAGAGGGGGGGAGGGAGCGCAAGCTGGAGAGAGGAGCAGAGGGAGAGAATCCTTTTTTTTTTTTTTTAAGCTTTTATACCTTTTATTTTTTATTTTTTAAAATTTATTTTATTTTTTGTTTTGTTATTTATTTATTTATTTATTTATTTATTTATTTATTTATTTTCAGAGAGAGAGAATCCTAAGCAAGCTCCCCACTCAGCATGGAGCCTGATGCGGGGCTCGATCCCACAACCCTGGGATCACGACCGAGGCACCCAGGTGCCCCCTGAAGCACTTTAAATTAAGCAGTGCGGATGAGGGAGGTGGATGCAATTGTGCCCATATTACAGATGAGGACACTCTAGATCGGCCCTGCATTTCAGCAGAATGTAAGAACCACACTAAGGTGCTTGAAAAATAAGTCAGACGTGGGTGAACCTGGGAGGCATTATGCTAGATCAAATGAGCCAGACATAAAAGGAGGAGTGCTGTGTGATTCCACTCGTATGAGGTAAGTGGAAAAGCCAAATTCACAGAGACGGAGGGTTGAATGGTAGTTGCCAGGGAACGGGGGCGGGGGAACTAGGAGTCCTCGTTACATGGGTTACAGAGTCTATGTTTTGTAAGACGAGACAGCTCTGGAGACGGGTGGCGGTGATGGTCACACAACACTGTGAATGTGCTCAATGCTGCTGAACAGTGCACCGAAGAATGGCTGAAATGGTAAGTTTTAGGTTACGTCTATTTTACCGCAATAGAGAAGGAAATAAATGAATAAATAGGAAAGATTCTTATTATTCATTTGTGACTTTATAAGATATGCATGTGTTTGAAAATTAAAGGCAGGGAAGAACAATCAAATTAAAATAATGCAATTCTGGGGGTGCCTGGGTGGCTCAGTTGGTTAAGCGTCGGACTCTTGGTTTCAGCTCAGGTTATGACCTCATGGTTTGTGGGTTCAAGCCCTGCATCCAGCTCTATGCTGGCAGTGCGGAGCTTGCTGGAGATTCTCTCTCTGCCCTCTCCTCTCTCTCAAAAATAAAGAAACTTTTTTTTAATGTTTATTTATTTTTGAGAGAGCGCAGGTGGGGGAGGGGTAGAGAGAGGGGGACAAAGAATCCCAAGCCGGCTCCTTGCTGACAGCAGTGAGCCCGACGTGGGGCTCGAACCCACAAACTTCGAGGTCATGACTTAAGCCTAAGTCGGACGCTCAACTGACTGAGCCACCCAGGCACCCCTAAAGAAACATTTTTTTAAATGTTAAACATTTTTTACCAGGAAGATCTGACTATAATAATGATTTCTATCCAATCTTTTTCTTTGTGTTCATCTACCTATCTGGCTCTCTCCTGTATATATAGCAATGCAAATGTGTGAGTTCACACTATAGAAGCAGTTATTCATTTTACTTTCTTTCACTTGACATTATATGATGAGCATTTTCCAAGCAATTAAAATTTATCTCTAAACATAATGGTAATGGCCGCACAGCAGCTCAGGCATGCTCTCATTTATTTAGCCCTCCTTCTGTTTTTGGACATTTAGGTTTTTGCAATTTTCTGCTTTGTAAATAGCTTTACAGCAGTCCTCCTAATGTGCTCATCTTGGCCCTGCCTCTGATTATTTCCTCAGCCCAGCCTTCTAGAAACAGAGCTACGGGGTCAAAGGACAAGTCAATATTCAAAAAGCCTTTTTACTAATTCTGCATATGTGTTGTGTGTGTGTGTGTGTGTGTGTGTGTGTGCGTGTTTGAACTAGTTTCGGAAGTCCTCCACCTGCCCTTTGTTCCTTTGGAGACCTGGATTGTCAACTTCTTTCCATCATTGCTGGCTGAGTGGTCCTCAGTTTCCTGCTCCCTGGAAACTACCTTTAGGGAACACATGTTTGAACTCTGCTCACCCCTTAGTCCAAAGCTAGAGACCTGAGCAAAGGAGGTCAGCTGGGCAAAGTGAATTATACAGGGTCTGAGGTTTTGTTTGGGTAAACATGGCTGCTATCACAGAGGAAGGTGTGAGGTTAGGGCAGAGCTCAGTCCCCAGGGCTGTGCACTGAAGCATTAGGCGAGCTTCCTGCTTTGTAAGAGCAAGGAAAGGGAAAGCTTGCTCACGCTTCCTTGACTGCTGGAAACAAGTGGTTAAATGTAGCCTGGGCCACCCTGGCCTTTGGGCTTCTCTGCATTATGTCACTTACTCCTAAGTCATGCACCAGCCCCAACCGTCATAGGGGAAATGGTCAATCTCTGATCCCCTAGGCGATTTTTGGTTTCAGAAACCCTTCTTGCGGTTTTTCATCAGGGTCTGCTGACCTTTTTCTCATTCTGTTAACTCCACTTCTCCTATGTGACTCCTTTCCAACCCCTCAGATCTCCGCTCAAATGTGATTTCCACGTGGAAGCTTTAGTGACCCTCTCAAACGAGATCAACACCCCAATGTGCTTTCCGTCACAGTGTGAGTCAAAGTTTGTTATTCCACTAAGTTGAATACTCATTTGATTCATGTATCATTTAATGTTTTCATTCAACAAATATTTTCTAAGTGGCCTCTGTGTGCCAGGAACTGTACTGTTTGTGGGGATTGCAGATGAGCAAAACCAGATTTGGTTCCTTTCCTTGTGGAGTTTATAGTCCAGTGGGAAGAAAACAAATAAAAATCGGATTCCGATGTTCAATAAGTGTTATAAAAAAGGGAACGAAGCAGGTTGCAATGACAAAGATTGGCGGAGGGCCCCAGTCAGACAGAGCAACCATGAAGCTGGGAATGGTGAGAGGAGAGAATCGTGGGGAGAGCCAGGAAGAAAGAAGGAGGCACAGGGAAGGCACCGAACCCGGGCATCTGGGGCATCTGAGGAACTGGAAGGCATGGAGGGAAGTTTTTGTGTGTTAGGGGAGAGGGACACGAGACGGGGGAAGACAGGTGGACAGGATCGGAGTGGGCTGATGGAGAAGGGCAGGAAAGCAGGGCAAAGCAGCTGAGTGGCCGATAAGTATCCACGGGAGTTGACAACATGGCAGTTGGTAAGGACCTTAACAACATTTTCCGGCAGCAGCCAGATGGCAGGAGGTTGAGGAGGAAGTGGATGATGAAAACTTAGAAACTATGCATGTGAGAAGAGAAGTTTAGAGCCGTGCAAAGGCATACAAAAGATTGGGTG